GAATTCGGGGCATTACAACTTGGTATCAGAGCTGTAGACTTGCAATAGAAACCATATCTTAGGAGTGCTGTGTCAAATGTAAAGTTGATTAAAATTCTTTAATGAGGATCCTGAACACTATGCCTGCTATAGCCACGCGCATGCCAATTTTGAGGTAAAGAAAGCTTTATGAATATGCTTGTATCTATATGATGATTATGGAAAGGTTATTTCAGATACAACATTTGAAATGTATTTATGAATATCAATATATATTTGAGTTGAATACCTTTTGTGAATAATCATTATTTTGCAAAGTATTTTGAGAACGTGACAATATTAAATGTTTATTTAAGTCCTCGAGAATTACCTAAAACTTATTAGACATCCACTAATTGGACTTTGAATAACTGGTGGGAAAATGAGTTCGTTGATGCCTTGTCGATGTGAGATCATAAGACAGTATGAAGAGTACCGGTGGAATCCAGCGCACAATATGCATGAGAACATTTGGGCGATGCTTGTAAGGTGGAGAGAGATGAGACAACTAGGCTATATGGTCACTGGTTGTCGAGCCACCCGCCTTCTTATTGATACTTTGCCAGAAGAGTGGCTGGAGACTGTTGAATCGATTTATGATTATTTATGGGATATTGTTGTGCCTACCTTGCCTCGAGAGATTAACTATGAGGCCTTTTGCATGGAGTTGATTGATCAGTGGGAGTTGGCCCGATTAGCGATTCCTAAGGATGATAGTGTACCTACTGAGATGTACGTTTATGATGATGCACCTTCAGCTGTTTCAGACGACGAGGCACAACCTTATAAGAAACCTAGGGCTCATGGAGGCTAGATTAGTGACGACGATGAATGGAGGATCAAAATTTTAGTAGATTTTATTAGGTTAAATTCTTATTGATGTCTAGTAGGATTCTTTTTGTTTTCTTGTTGATTAGCGCTAGACACTCTGTTATTGCTTTGTATTCCTCTTGAAGGATTCTATTTAAATAATAAATAAAGATTTTGAGCCATAAATCTTTACCCTATATTGTGTAAGTGTCGTCGACTTCTCTGAATGAGATTACGTTTATGATGGTATTTAGGACTATAGCGCAAGCAAGGACAATTAGGGAATTAAGATGAGAGATTGATGAGTTGAAACAGGCCTTAGCTACTCAGGCTACACCTCCTGCTCCACCAATCCCACCAGCACCACCGGTACCATTAGCATATCCACATATACCGTCTATTCCAGCAGTAGAACAATTTCGCAGGTATCAACCCCCTACCTTTGATGGCGGGAAAGACCCTCTGGCAGCTGAAGAGTGGTTGCGTACTATTGAGAAGATCTTTCGGCATATCTCTTGTCCAGAAAGCTAAAAGGTATTATGTGCTGAGTTTATGCTAGTTGGAAGAGCAAGCCATTGGTGGAAATCCTCATCATGTACTCGTACCGAGAAGGGACAACGTAATTTAACTTAGGACCAATTCAAACTAGAGCTAACAGAAAAGTTTTTCTCACAAGCTCTACGAGACTATAAGGAAGCAGAATTCTTAAGACTAGTACAGGGAGATACAGAAATTTTTGAGTATGAGAGCAAGTTTAAGGAATTGTCTCGATATGCCCCACATCTTGTAAGTACTGAGCTCATGAAGATAAAATGTTACCAAAGGGGCCTGCGACCAAAGATCAGGCAGATTGTGAGTTTACACGATCTCACAACCTTTCAGGCAGTTGTGAAGAAAGCTCAAATAGTAACCTATTCATGGGTGAAGTTGGTAAATCAGGGACAGCGTAATGACTTTGGAAAAAGGAAGTGGTAGGATAAGAATAAGAATTCTGGATAGTTTAAGAAGCAGACACTTGTGGACCAGTCAAATAATCCTCCATCCCAATGTCCTAGGTGTAACAAGTATCACAGAGGGGAATGTCTGTATGGAAAGTATGCTTGCTATAAGTGTGGCCAACCTGGTCACGTGGTTTCCTCGTGTCCATCGATTAAGAAACCCGAACAGGAGAAGAAAGGAAAAACAAGGGTGTTTACTCTGACTCACGACAAGGCTGCCCAAAATTCGGATGTAATCGCAGGTATTTTATCCATCTCTGGTACTTCGATTTATGTCCTTATTGATTCTGGTGCAACACATTCATTCATATCTAATGCATGTCTAGCTAAGATTAATGCTTCATGTAAGAAAAATGATAATGTGTTAGAGGTTAGTTTGTCATCAGGAGGAACTATTGATACAGATAGGATAGCAACAGAGGTACAAATAAATTTTGATGGATTGAGATTAGAGGCCGACTTGTACGTTATAGAGATGAAAGACTTTGATATTATTTTAGGCATGGATTGGTTAGGTAAAAATTGAGCCACGATAGTATGTTTTGAGAAAGAGGTAATTTTTCAAAGATCAGGAGAAGAGGAATTTAGATTTTATAGATTGAAGGTTAAGGCACTTCCTCACGTCATCTCAGCTTTGAAGGCAAAAAGCAAGTTGACGAAGCCTGACTGTCAGGGGTATCTTGTCAGTCTTATTAGCACCTCATTTTAAGAAAAAATATTGGATGATGTGCCAATAATAAAGGAGTATGCTGACGTGTTTCCCGATGATCTATTGGGTATTCCGCTCGATAGACAAGTGAAATTCACAATAGATTTGGTACCTGAAGCTAGTCCTGTGTCCAAAGCTCCATATCGAATGACACCAAAGGAATTACAAGAGTTGAAGATGCAACTAGAAGAACTTCTAGACAAAGGGTATATTAGACCGAGTGCATCTCCATGGAGAGCTCTGATACTCTTTGTAAAGAAGAAAGATGGTACTATGAGGTTGTGCATCGACTACCATGAATTGAATAAGTTGACGATAAAAAATAAGTATCCCCTTCCCAAGATTGAAGAACTATTTGATCAGTTGAAGGGCGCATCCGTGTTCTCAAAAATTGATTTAAGGTCGAGCTACCATCAACTGAAGATTAAGTCGATCGATATATCGAAGACGACATTTAGGACTCGGTATGGGCATTATGAGTTTATTGTGATGCCCTTTAGCTTGACGAATGACCCTGCGATGTTTATGGACTTGACGAATAGAATGTTCCATCAATATTTGGACATGTTTGTCATCGTATTTATTATACTGATATACTCGAGAGATTTCTTGCAACATGAAGAACATTTGAGGATAGTTTTGGAAATCCTGCGTGAGGAAAAATTGTATGCCAAATTCAAGAAATGTGAATTCTGGCTTGACCGAGTGGGATTTCTAGGTCATACTGTTTCAACACGAGGAATTGAAGTGGATCAATCCAAAGTTGAGGCCATAACCAATTAGCCGAAACCTACATATGTTGGAGAAGTATGGAGCTTTCTAGGGTTAGCCGGCTATTATCGACGATTTATAGAACGATTCTCCAAGATTGCAGGTCCTATGACACAATTGACTTGGAAGCGTACTAAGTTCGTATGGTCGGAGAAATGCGAACAGGGTTTTCAAGAGTTAAAGGATAGGCTTATATATGCCGATTTTGACTATTCCCGATGGTTCAGAAGGTTTTGTGATTTACAGTGATGCATCGAAGTTTGTTTAGGATGTATTTTGATGTAACATGGGAAAGTGATAGCTTATGCTTCGAGACAGTTGAAGCAATATGAACAAAATTCTCCCACACATGACCTTGAAATAGCAGCGGTAGTTCACGCCTTGAAGATTTGGCGCCACTACTTATATGGAAGATGGTGAGATCTACACTGATCATAAGAGTTTCAAATATTTCTTCACCCAAAAAGAGTTGAATATGAGACAGCGACGGTGGTTAGAATTAGTGAAAGATTACGACTGTACTATCACGTACCATCCAGGTAAGGCTAATGTAGTTGCTGATGCATTGAGTAGAAAGAACATGAGATAGTTGTCAGCACTGTGTACAAGATAGGATCATTTAATAAAAGATTTTGAAAACCTGAGAATCGAAGTATTAACGTCACCAGTAAGGACATCGATGAAGTTAGCAAGTTTTACTGTGAAACCGACACTCAGGGACAGAATAGTAGCCGCTCAGAAAGATGATCCCTTTTTGGAAAAGATCAGAACTGATGTAGGAACTAAGAAGAGGAAAGGATTTGAAATAGCTAAAGATAAAGCCTTGATGTTTAAGGGTCGATTGTGCGTGCCAAAGGATGAAGTGTTGAGAAATGAAATTATGACTGAGGCTCACCCAACTCCTTAAGCTGCCCACCCAGGCGGAACTAAAATGTATTGAAATTTGTGTAACACATTTTGGTGGAGAAATATGAAGGGAAAGATAGCTCTATTCGTGTCCAAATGCATGGTTTGTCAACGGGTGAATGCTGAACAACAGAAATCATTTGGACTGTTGAACCCCATGGACATACTTGAATGGAAGTGGGAAAAGATTGCAATAGATTTTGTCATTGGTTTTTCTAGATCAGTGATAGGTCATGATGCGATGTGGGTAATTATGGACCTACTTACAAAATCTGCTCATTTCTTGTCAGTTCAGACAACCTCAAGCTTAGAACAGCTCACACAAATTTATGTCAGGGAGATTATGCGACTTCATGGTATTCCGGCATCTATCATATTAGATAGAGACCCGAGGTTTACTTCAAAGTTTTGGATAAGTCTTTAGAAAGCTATGAGTACCAAGTTACATTTAGTACTGCATACCATCCTCAAACTAACAGACAATCTGAACGAACTATACAATTTCTTGAAGATATGTTGAGAGCTTGTGTCCTAGATTTGGGTGGTAAATGGGAAGATCATTTGCTGTTAGTTGAATTTGCATAAAAAAATAGCTTTCAAGCCACTATTGGCATGGCACCATATGAGGCTTTGTATGGTAGACGATGTCGTTCGCCATTATACTGGGACGAAGTTGGTCAAAGGAGAATTTTGGGCCCAGAATTGGTCGAGAAGACTATGGAAGCTATATATAAAAATAGATCAAGAATTAAGACTCCCAAGATCGTAAAAAGAGCTATGCCGATAAAATGAGAAAAGAATTGACTTTCGAGATTGGAGAGAAAGTATTTCTCAAAGTGGCACCGATGAAGGAAATACTACGAGTTGGAAAGAAAGGGAAACTAAGCCCTAGATTTATCGGTCCATTTGAGATTCTTGAAAAGATTGGGAGTGTGGCATATCATTTAGCATTACCACCGGAACTTTCAGCAGTGCACAACGTATTTCACATTTCTATGTTGAGAAAGTACATTCCTGATTCTAATCATGTGGTGAACGTTCAATCACTGGATGTGCAGAGTGATATGACGTATGAAAAAGCTTCTGCAGTGATGTTGGAGAGAAAGGACCATGCCCTGAGAAATCAAAAGGTTCCACTAGTCAAAGTCCAGTGGAGTAAACATGATGAGGATGAGGCTACTTGGGAACGAGAAGATGATATTTTAGCCAAGTACCCCAATCTCATTAAAACAAGTAAGTTAAATTTTAAGGACGAAATTATTATAAGTGCGGAGAGTTGTAGCGACTGGAAAAAAAGTTGTTTTGTTTCGCTCCAAAATAAAATTTTCTTATGGGACTCAAATATAATCTGAGTTATATTATTATGTCGCTATGACACTTCCTAATAGTCCAAATTAAACTTTGGTCACGAAAGTAAAATTTCGCGTACTTGATTTTCTTAAATTTTACAAAGTGTTAAAATCGCTTTTAAACGACAAATTTTTATGCTAATTTGGTTACATTATTTTTCTTGCGACACACTTTATTTTAATACTACCATTTTGGTTTCCATTATGTAAACTACTTTTTGAAATTGGACAATTTACTTGCATGTTTCATCATCCATCATTTATATTCCAACTTACAATTTTAATGAACTTCCATTTTTGTCAATGCCAAAACCGTCCTTGATCATTCATTTGAAAATAAAATTACAACTCCAATTCTATCCGTTAACTACCCCACTTGCTATATTAACTTCCATTTTGTTTGTTGTTAACTATCAAAAGATATATATTTATATAAATAAAAAATTTTTGCCATTTTATCATTGGGAAGTTACGTGCCCTGTTCATCTGTTGAAGATTAACATTTCAGAGCCATAACCCCCACTTTATTATCTTTTGTAAGTCCATTTTATTTGTTAACTTCCCAAAAGATGTATACATATAAAACTGCCATTGTATATTGGAAGTTAAATGGCACGTACTTTTCAACCATTTGAATACATTTCAAAAGTCTAACCGCCATTTTTGTTAATTTGCTATTGAATTGGGAAGTTAACTTGCATGTCCCTGCCATCCATTGGAGATTTACATTTAAAATATCATAACCACCACTTACATTATTCCTTTTCAACTTCCGTTTTAAAATACATTGCCCGCCACTTCATTTGGAATTAGAAAATAATAATTGTCCCTTTTCATTTTAAAGGCCATAAGATAAATTCGATAACTCAAATTTAAACTCCTTTAGCCACAGTTTCTCTCCCAATTTATTTTGTCCTTTTACATAGATTAAAGAACCTTTAAATCTGGAAATTCTTAAAAGAGGATGCTAAAAGTATGCTGCATTTTATTTCTTTGGACACGAAAGGATATTCAAACTCTAAGCATTAAGGTAGGGGTGTATCGACGCTTTTGTAAATGATGTAAGATTTATATGTTTTCGTTTGCGTTAAACTTCTTATTGTATTACTCATGATGGAATCACCGTTTGGTAGTTTATACAAGATATGAAGAGATGATTATGATAAATGAAATGGGGTTATCAAAACATAAAAGTAAGCGGGTTGACTGATCACCAATTCGTTTGAAATTGACTGTGACACAATCGAATAAAGTTTGCATTACTGAAAATATATATTTTTACCATTTACTTAAGTGCGTCCTACTGAGTATTATTTATAGTACTCATCCCTACAAATATTTTACAGGTTAAGATGGAGGCATGGCAGTGGTTGGCATAGTGGCAAGTGTTCAGCAATCTCAAATGCTTTCAACTTTTAGTAAAGATTTCCATTTACGTAAACATTTTATGGATACTTAGGTGATACTTTTAAAATGTTTTAATGTTTTATTTTGTCTAGTTTTACAGACAATGCATGTTAACGAGAATCTAGAAGTGTTGGATTAAATGTGTATGAAGTTTAAATTTATGCTGGCTTAAAATTTCAAATTTTGTCCTCCTATTTGAAAATGGTATAACTTGGAACATGGTGCACGTTTTATGGTGAAATCAGTGGGGTTTGAAACGTCTATGAGTCTTTTAACAGTGGCTTTTGGAATTTTGTCAAAAACATTATCTATAAAAAAAGTTATGCCCGTTTTATTAAACTGCATCGTGTTGAATCCGAGATTCTTGTCCAGCATATTCGAGCAATATTTTCGTGTTTCAAACATTGTCTTCAATAACCCAAATTTTTATATGTGGTACATATATAAATGCTTTAGTCTTCGGGAAAATTTCATAATTTTTAATAGACATTTGCTAGGCCAAATATATTTTTCTTCCGCTGTTGTTAAATCCGTAATTGTTGAATTACCTCCAAATCTGTTCCAAAATCAAATTTTGCTACATTTGCCTAAGTTTATATGGATAACTACCTTCCATTATATATTTATATATTTAAAAAGATTTCGAATTTATAAAATACTTTGGCTAGCGTCAAAGGGGTCAAACCAAAGAAAGAAATGATTTTTTTTAACGCTTCGGATTCCGAGAATTCGGGGTGTTACACTAGTTATCAAAAAATCCCAGACAAGCGTGAAGATTTAATTCAATAACCGTTTTATGAACTAGAGAAATCAATAAACTAGATAACACAAGCACACGCGGTTGCATTTAACCTAGATAAATATTCTTCCTAAGATTTAATAATTTTCAAAGCAGCAAATTACTAATCCTAATTGCTTCACAAGTTAAATCAATCAAACAATTACGGATTTGAAGTTTAACTAGCTATAGATTGTAGAAAATAACAAATTAGTGTGCACACTAGCAATTAAACTCAACAATAATAAAAATAAGTGCAGAAAAATATTTAATACTAAAAATATATGAATCAAACAATAAAAAACCAGGTGGATCTCATAGTTAATTGTTTGAGGCCTTCTGTCTCCTTCGATCAAATAAGAAAAATTAGCTAGACGTCTTCAATTTTAGAGCCCAAAAGAGAGAAAAGTGATTTGGGAGCGTTCCCTAGGTTTTGGACAAGTTATGAGGGCTTATATATTTTAGAAACTAAAAATTGCTTGTCAGAATATAACTATGGGACCACATAGTTATATGGGTTACAGTCGCATAGAACAATGATTTTCAGCTCAGAAGTTCCCTGGAGGTCACTATGCGACCGCATACTTCAATCATTTTCACGCCAGACAACTTTTAGTATTTTAATCATAACTTTCTCTTCTAATATTCGATTTAGGTGATTTGAGTTGATTTAGGAAGCTAACTTACAGATCTACAATTTCAATAGAAACAGGATGTTTCCAATTCGGTTGTTTACTATGCCAAAAATGTGTTTCAAATAGAGACTAAAAATCTCGAGTATAGCTTTTTCGCCTGAAAGTTGATACATGATAATACTCCAACTATATTTCACCTCTTTGAGTTCTTTCTTCATCCAATCAACCTCTAAGACTCTTGAATCTTCATTTCATTACCAGTCACATCTATGAATTATTTGCAACTTGGTCTCTGAACTTTTACTTTCTTCCATTTTGATCATTTTTCGCTCTTTTTTCTCCCAAATTCCTATTTTCCATCAATTCACAAGCTAAATCCAAATATAAGGGTACTGAGTACATTTGGGCGTTAATTAATCACAAAAATACAATTTTAATGGATATAGAATACAACATTCCATGTCTTATCAATGATCGAAATGTATTGGAGATCAACATTTAATTTGTGCACCATTATCTCTGGGTCAACACCAATCATGTGTGTGTGAGACCAAATGAATTCGTTTTGGTGTTCCATGAGAAACTTGATAAAACTTTGCCTGATCTCTAGTTCTAGCCTTGTCCCCACTTGAGTTTTGTGTTCTGGAAAGTCAGGGTGGATTTATACTTTATCTAGCTCTTCAACATCGAAATGGCAGGGTAAAATTGCTGTAATTGCTATAAAGGACATCAATCAAAGCAAAGTGAATTTTAATAGTAATCTCTAGAATCTCTTTGGTCATCAAGAATATCCCTTTTTCCACATTTATAGAAAAATGGAGTACTTGATGAAATGTCAATGGTACAGCTTTCATTTCATGGATCCAAGGTCTTTCCAAGATAACATTATACACTAAATGTTATCCATTACGAGAAATTAGAAGTGGACGTTAACTTTTTTCTGCATAAATAGGCAACATGATCTTACCCAAAGTGTTCTTTTGTTCACCACTAAAATCGATTAGCACTATTGACATTTTCTTTTGGACTATATGTCCATCCCAAAGTGTTCTATTATACGCTAAAGTATGTTTGCAATGCTGCCATTATCTACCAAATATGTTTGGTCAAGCAGTTGGTGATGTTCAAAGATATGACCAAAGCGTCATGGAGTGGATTTGTAGCTGCATCGCCTCAAAGGTCGTAAAGCTAATGTTTTATGGTAATCTGACTCACTTACTTGGTTTAGATTCTAGCAAAGATAAGCCATTCGACGAGCATGTCTTCGTGTCACTGCCCTTATTATCCCACTAAATTATGACTTGCCGATGATGAAGTTAATAGTTTTATCATGTGTCGGTGGGATTGTTGGCCATTGTTGTCGTCTGGCAAAATTCTCTTTTCCTTTTTCGGTCCGAGAATCAATAAGATATCCTTACTTTATCAGCTCCGCAACTTTCAACTTGAGTGTGATGTAATCATCTGTCCGGTAATGATAGTTTGCACGAAACTCACACCAATTGCTCTTGTCAAGTTGGTTACTAGAGCTTCTCATCTTTTGGATCAATTTACCGTACTACCCATTCCCTTTTTAGCACCATAATTAGTTTTGATGAGCCTATAGAGAGGTTGAATTCAGGGATCCCAACCTTTATCCTTATAGAATGACGATAAATGGTCTGGGCAACTCTCTACACTTGGTGTCCCTCCTGTCTATAGAAGAATAAGCACTTACAGACCATTTCTCTGTCCTGTTTTGTTGTCGTGGCTCTTTTCTATGGGGTTAGTGTTTGGTGAAATTGAAGTTGGCATCATCTTCTCCCCATTTAATCTGGGTTTGAGCTTTAGCCAAGACATCTTCCATTGCACTGCAGGATACTTGGTCAATTCCTTCTATAAATCAGTGCTAGGAAAAAGTCCCTTTTGAAAAGTAGAAACAGTGATTTGTTGGTTGCAGCCAAGAATGGAAACTTTTTCCCGATTAAATCATTTGACAAATTCACAAAGTGATTGCTTCCCATCTACACTAGATGATAGAGATTGTCGTACGTATTTCAAGTTTTTTGCTGCTTGCAAGACTGTTCAACAAAAGTATCAATTAGTTATGCGAATGATGATACAGAATTATTAAAAAGGTTTGTATACCGCTATAAGGCCGGCCCCACAAGAATGGAACTGAACTCATTACACATGTAGGCCTCGTGAAGGTCTCTGGGTATAGTAGCGGTAAACAATCTCTGTCTATATTAAGCTATATGATCGTCCAAATCAGCCATCCAATGATAAAACTTCATGTTAGGAAAGCTGACCTTTTTAGGTAGGGCAGTGTCATCAACAAAGAAAGAGCTGATAACTGGCCACTCTTTTTTATTAGTGCACGCATCCTAGGGATACGTTAAACCATGGATTCAATCCCTACTAACTTTCATGCGAACTCTGAATCCTTTCCATTGGTATGCTATTTTGTTGTATATCTTCCAACCCTTTATTCTGCGATTTGGCAAATTGGAAATTTGAACCATTGTTCCTAAATCTATTTTAGTCGATTCAAGGCATCAACCTGAATGGAGTTTGGAAACAGGATGGACGTACCAAAGTCCGATCGGATGCCAATGATTCCACCATTTATTGAAAGTCCAGATTCTCTACAAGGATGGTAACATTCTCCGCGTCTAGCCTCTTTAATTTTTGTGAATTCTGCTTTGTCAACTCAATGAGTTGGGCTAGTTGTGAAATTTAGCTAGACGAATTGGCAAGTTGAAAATGTGTGGAAATAGGATAAACAACACTCTGGTGAATAGTTTTCGACTAGACTGGCTAGATTAAATAGGCTGGTTGGATAGTTGTTAGCAAAATGATGGTTGGATGGGTGGGACGGGCCAACGGTATAGTGGTTGTAGAGCGGTGATATGTCTTAAGCTGCTCCCTATTGCCTTGTTCTGTCCACCTCCTGATGAACCATTCGTTTTAGTTCTTGATGATCCATTTTATCCAAAGCATAATCAGTAGAGCCATTCGCAAGGTAGATTTCAAAAGTTCCTAACATGGTGATGGTGATTGATGAATAATGTTGGTAAGAACTCCATTCGTAAGAATGATTGCTAGGGCCCCACAGCAAGCTGGTAGACTTTAGATTCTACAATTGAGAAAATTGGGTCGATTAGGCCACCATCAATCTTGTAGAGATCAGAGATAAGTATAACAAGAAAGAATGATTGTAAAAGATCTTAAAAAGACACCTATATGGTATCGATCGAAGGCCCTCCGATGGTTTAGTCATTAAAGCTTGTCGAGAATTACATGAATGCTAGATGAAAAGTAAGAAGAAATAATTCAGAGTAGAGTAGATTGGATACCTGAATGTTTGGCTGGCTACAAAATTTATAGGAGTGGGATAATTGTCTGGGCAGGATTGGCAAGGACTCTGTGAGATTTTTTTTGGTTGGTTGGAGCTAAATCTAATCAGATCTATTTGATTGAGATACCTAAGCTATTTACAGATAACTCCTACTTGATCTGATCAAATCATAAAGTGATTTATCTTGAAGATCAATTATTGGAGGTTTCGAGTTAACACGTGGATTGTGGATCATCCATTCAGATCAATTGGCATAACGAGTTGGGCCAAGGATAGGGCATTTATTAAGTGGGTGGTCTGTGGGCCTTATTTTAGGACTTGGGCTAGTGAAATAGTTTTTACTACTACAATTTCTTACCATATACCCAAGGTTCACCATTTCTTCAAAATTCATCTCCACCTAGGGTTGTCTATAGGAATGGTGGTGCCCAAACTCTAATTAAATTCTTCTAAAAATGGTTATTGTATCATACCTGTAACGAGAGTTTCAACTTAGGAATGGCAACGATTACTTTGGGTTGGGTCAGGATCATGGTCAAAGTAGTCATCCTCACCCTTCCGTCCCATCAGATATTTTTTATCTCCTTATCCTACCCAAATACTTGTTTAAGACATGGCGAAGGGGTTTGAGGCAGGGGTAGGGACATGGACATGGACAGGGACATAGTAAGTCCTTGTTTACTGTCCAATTTATTTATTTATTTTTATATTTTATGTTTTTAGTTAGTGAAAATTACTATTTTCAAATTGTAGAAAAATCATGTTTCCTCTAAAAACCATGACAATTATTTTCATTTTTATAAGAAAAAATTGTATGTTGAAATGAATTTTAAATGAGACGAGAACCATATTTTCGTACAACCCATCTCGGAGCAACTATCCCTGTCCCATGTACTCGATTAGGCGGAGAATCCCGTCCCATTTGGTGTGGGGCCTCACAAATATCGGGTATAATAATTTATTATTATTATTTTATTTTTTTTATCATCAACCATTGTTGGAAGAGTTCTATGAATCCCACCTCATTGTGATTTGCCAGTTTCACCAACCACAATCGAACTTGTGGTCCAAAATTTCTGATTCGAATCATAATTTAAATTATTAGGAGTAGCCTCTAGGGCCTTCACTCCACGAACATCGTCATCAATGTCTTGAATTCATAAGATTAAGCCATCAAACCCATGGGAAAACCTATGGTCTTTGATACCAAATAGCGTAAAAGCCCAAATTGAAGAACAGAAAATCAAAACAGCAACTTCATGCTTACTCGCAAAAAGAAAATAATTGGAAGTGCAAATGAGTTCGAGGGAAAATTCTTTCCTTTCAGTTAAAACCTAAAAGTTCCCAAGTGCAACTTAAAGCATTAGATGAATTGAACAACATCATTTTTCAAGTTGGTTTCTAAAAATTATAAAATAATAAGAATTGATAAAAAGAAATGCTAAGGAAATAACGAAGCGTGTTTACAACATAACTTAAATTTCTTGAACTTAGTTGTTGGCTTTTACTCAATCTTTATACCACTCTTATCGCCGTTTTTTCTGCATCAGTTGTTTCCATCATTAGAAGGATTCGACCACGACCCAAATCGGTGAGAAGAAGCATAATCTTCTTGACATATCATCACCAAAAAACCTTTCTTATAATTACTCTTGTTGTTGATTTTAAATGATGACATCGTGACGAAAATATGTCGAGTTACTTTAACTGAGATCAAATTACAAAATAGATACTCGATTGAACAAAATTAAAAGACAATTACGTCATTGATATTATATTAGAAATATTGTTGTCGCAAATGATGAAATTTACCCAACTACTTTATTAACATTGGATATTATCAAACACCACATTATTTATTTTAATCACAATTACATATTCAATAAAATGAAGAAAAAGAAAAAGAAAATCCACGAGATAATTTCAAGTTGTAGCAAATGTGTCCGGTTCATGTCCATGGCCCATGGTTCAGTCTCTTGTGGCCCATAAACCCCATCTTAAATTTCAGACCGGGCGTACTCCAATTGTAAAACCCTCAAGAGAAAGAAGCAGCGAGACAAAGGTAGGGTTTTTCGGGCAGCTCGTAAACGCGACAATGCCGGATGAACAAGCTTCAGAGTCCTCGCAAGACATGAAATTTGAACGGGCTTCCGCCGCCGACCCCATAACGGAGGCCTCAAAGAACAGTGACGGAGATGCTGTGAAGCGCCCCCGGGAAGACGATGATGAGGAAGCGAAAAAACAGAAGAAACCGAAGGTCGACAATGAAATAGTGGAAAAGAAAGAAGGGTCGGAGTCGGGAGGTGTCAGTGTGGGTCCGAAGACATTCGGCTCATCCGAGGATATGTTTGAATACTTCTATAAGATTCTTCATTTCTGGACTCCCAATCTTAATATCAATAAGGTAAACTTAAACTCTGGTTTTTCTTAGTTGTTTTTATTTCCGGTATAATAAGTTGGGCTTATATTTTTCTGTAATTGGAAATTTTGCGTCTTTATCCTGAAAAAAATCTGTAAGCTCTGCACTTGTTGGTAATTCTGTCAAGAAAAAATGTTTTACTTGTTTGAATCATTGATGTCGGAATTGGAAATCAAAATGTGCGATTCTAATTTGTCTTAAAAGATTTAATATTTGAAATTTAATTCTGTGCCATAGATATCATAAGAGTAATTGAAATATAAGTAGCATGCATTGCATATGCAAGTTTTGATCTTTTGGTCTGTTTTGTTCCGGCTGGAGATTTGAGGATGACATGCATTGGATTGCAAATTATATTGTTTTGAGGGGAGAAGAAAATTACATTGGAGAATGATTATGATGAAATTATATACGACATGTGCAGTGTGCTCTTGGAAATGATTATGAGGTAGTGCTTATGTTCGTTTTGGAGGTTACTGGTTGGTAAAAACTAGAATATGATTAGGATTTCGCCATTCTCGATTAGAAGATCGTAAGCTAATCTCAGGAGTCTGAATCATGTGTTTTGCATTATCTTCACTTATATGATGTTTTCCATGGGTGAATTTACTGTCTGCTTCAAATAATTGTTGTCAAAGGATTAAAGTTTGTGCTTGGATATTTGGTTATAATTGAAAGTTGGGACGGAGGAAATTGGCTGTGGATGCCTGCAATTAACCCAAAGAGTAAATCAAAACACAATGCAAGAAGAAAAACTAGAAAATGCAAGACACCAAACATACAATGGTTCGATCAAGAACTGATCTGCATCCATGTTGAGCTCCATTGTAGAAGTTAATATGGACTGAAGATCTGGAACAATGCAATTTTGTGTACAAGACTTCACTGAAATCCTCGCTGATTAGCTGACTCTGCAGCCCAAGGCTACTGTTTGACAATCAAGAGTAGTCAGGTGTAAGGGATCTGAGGTTAAAAGCACTTTCTCACCTCAGTTGTCTGACTGTAGCTTCTAGGAATTTAATAATTTTCATGCTTATTTACGTACCCTCTGTTTAGGTATCACCTCTGTCAAATTATTCTATATTTGATCATTTTGGGCATTATTCTTTTGTTCACTGTTCTCAGTTATGCCGTTGACATATCATGTTAGGCAATGGGAAGGGATCTGTTTCCGGATCATCAGATGTTGTGGAGATTTTGGACATAGTTTCCTAGTATCATAAATGAGCTGAAAATTGAGTTTTCAATGTTGGTGTTCATTTTGTTGTTTTCAGCAACATGTTCCAAACATAATTTAAGTGCAATAATGAACACACGATTCTAAATATGTAGTGTGAAATTGGCTTGATCTCAAAGTTGGTTATGTTTATCATTTCTCCCCAGTATGAGCACATGGTGTTGTTGGAATTGCTCAAGAAGGGTCATTTGGAGCCTGAGAAAAAGATTGGTAATGGGATTGAAGCATTCCAAGTCCGATACCATCATCAGTTCAAAAGTCGATGCTTTTTCCTCGTAAGGGATGATGGATCTATTGATGATTTCAGCTTCAGAAAGTGTGTGGATCGCATACTACCCCTGCCAGAAAACATGCAAATAAAACACGATGTCAACAAAGCATTGCGCGGAAAAGGAGGTGGCCGTGGACGTGGCAGAGGAGGAAGAAATTGAGGTTGTTGTCTCTGTTTTTGTTTTCTATCGACTTAAGTAACAGAATTTCGGGTCATAGAAACGCAGCACCTGCTTCTTTTTTTCCTGAATCGATGTACTATTGAGTAATCCAAATTCTGGCTTTTGATGCACTTCGATTTTTTTTTTTTCTTTTCTTGGTGAAATATAAGTGTTATCTCGATTGAGTTAATTGTCAAGATTTTCTCAGTAGCAAGAAGTTCATTTAGCACAGAACTGGACAAGAAATTCTTCTTTGTTTCTGGTATAAAGAGTACTCTGTTTGACGATGTTCATACGTATGAGTGTTGAGCTCGAAGTTGGTGTTGTGGCTCTTCAAATATTACTCACAAAAGAAGTGTGGGAACTGACTTCGGGCTTAACATTTAGGATCTGACTTTGATTATGAAATTAATATATGCTTCGTCATTTCCATTTGTTTTGCAATTAGCATAATTAGTGTTTTCTTAAAAAATAGGTTTGTTTTTATTTTCTCACAAATTAAGAAAATGTAATTTTTGTAGTTAGAAATATAAATTGTACTCACATTTTTCCTCATATATCCTTACATTAAATAATGGTTTCAATATGAATAAATAGTAATATACATTTACTAATAATAAAATAGATTAAATAGGGGGTATGTTAGAAAACTAAGAGAAAGTAGCTTGTCTATCACTTGGTTAAAAAAAAATAAAACAAAGAAAATATATCTTTATGTGACGAGAAGTGTAATAAGTAATGAGTTTTACGTAATGTATAGATAAAAGTTGGATAAACTTTGTGGTCTCACGTAATATGTGAATAAAAATGATATTTGATTAACTT